GCTACCTGACTCGGAGGGGACTGCAGGGGTTGAGGGTGCTGGCTGTGCTGCTGGGCACCTGCAAAAGCTGGCAGGGAGGCAGGAGAGTACCCTTCCCTGTCTTAACCCTTGTGCCCACAGGAGTGCAGTTGCTGTCTGGAAAGGTATCATCGAGGGGACCGTGCATGCTGGGCAGGTCCGTGTCACCGCTTCGGAGAGCTACCGCTCCCTCGCTGCAGAAGCCGCCCGGACTGCCCGCCTCTCCAAGGAGAGGATGCTCAAAAAGGTACTGGGGCGAGGACATGTCCCTTGTGCCTGGGTGGTGGGGACAGCTATCCCCCCCCAGCTGACGCTCCCTGCAGGGCATCGAGCGGCTGCAGAAGGCGCAGGCGGAGCTGCTGGAGACAGTGAAGGAGCTGGACAAGGCAAAGAAACAGTTCACCCACCTCCAGCGGAGCAGTGAGGTAGCCAAGGACAAGGCAGCCGACGTGGAGGCTCGGTGAGCAGAGGGGACCATGGTGGGGGGCTGCCACAGCCACAGCATGGTCTCATGTCATCTCCAACCTCCCCAGGCTTCGGAAGAGCGACCGGAGGATATTTCACACAAAGGCCAGCCTGCAAAAACTCAGTGCCAAGGTCAGCAATGCAGGGGGGTGGCGGGGTACCCAAGCAGAGGGATGTGGGGGGACATGGGGTGGTGGCCCCCACCCCATCACCAAGCCCTGCTCTCCCCGTCCCCGCAGTTCTCAGCACGGCTGGCCGAGCACTCGAAGCAGCTCGTGGGGGTGCAGAACGAGTACGGCTTCGCCCTGGTGTCTGCCACTGCCCACCTGGAGCATTACAGGCGGGTGGAGCTGCCCGCCGCCATGCAAGTAGGAGCTGCCTGGACCCCCCCCCCACCTCCCCTACCTGGGGTCCCGCAAGAAGCATCTCCCCAGTGCCACTGGGAGGAGGTGCAGCAGGGGGGGTCCCACTGGTGCGGGGACAGGGCTGACTGCCCTGGGGGGGTCAGGGATGCTCCCCAGGGGGATGCAGGCAGTGCTGTGGGAGTTTCCCACTTGTTTTCCCCCCAGGCACTGGATGGTGACCTCTACGAGCGGCTGCGGGAGCACTTGTCGGCAGCCAGCCGGACGGAGGTGGAGACCTGTCGGGCTACACGGGACTGGTTCCAGGGCATTGCAGAGGCATCCACACGGGTAATGGCACCCGTCCCAGGAGCTGCGTGGGGCAGGAGGGGGCGGGCAAGCCCCTCGACCCCACGCTGCTCTCCTTCCGCAGGTGTGCCGGGAGCAGGACCTCCTCCTCTTCCTCCAGGACCACCCTGCCTTCACCCTGGCCCCGGAGCAGCGCTTCCAGCTCACCGGGGTGGAGGAGGTAAGGGGTGGTGGGGGGCATGACATTATGGCAGGGGGGTCTGCACAGTCAGCCCCTTCTCAGCCACCATGTCCTCGCTCAGGTGTGCCTGCTGCCACCCGAGGACGACAGGGCCAGCCTGGAGAAGGAGGCACGGCGCTGGGCCACGCGGGTGGCTCGGGACCACAAAAACAAGGCGCACAGTGAGGAGGTACGTGCTGTCCTTCCCCACGGAGCATGGTGGGTGGCTCAAGGAGGGGTTTTCTCTGCCCCCTACCAGCTCCCACCACCCCGCTGACCCACCCAGGTGCTGCAGCGGCTGGAGACCAGGCGGCAGCAGGTCCCAGAGGTGGAGGCGGCCGCCGTGGAGCGGCAGATGGAAGAAGCAAGGGAAAACATACGGAAGGCGGAGGTGAGTCCCCCAGGCAGGAGGCTCTGGGTGGCTTCAAGGTCTGTCACCCCCAGGGTGGGGGATGCGGCGCTGGGGGTGCTTCACCATCGTGGCAACCACACTGGGGACCAGGGGCAATGGAACTTGCTGGGCTGTCCCCCCACCCCATAGGTGTCCCTTTAGACATTGACAATGTGTGTGTGTACCCAGGTCAGCCGAGTGAAGGCAGAGGCACGGCTGGCGCTGCTGCGGGCAGCGGGGCTGGACGTGGACACTTGGCTGGCAGGGGCTATGGTGGGGGCGGGCGAGGAGGTGCCCACAGGGCTGGATCTGGCTGAGTTCGATGACTACGAGGACAGTGACGAGCTGGAGGAGGACGAAGAGCCCGGCCCTGCTGCCCGCACCTACCCTTACACCTGCCGGGTGATTTTTGGGTACCAGGTATGGCCACAGCTGCCTGCCCCTCACCCTGCCTGCCCAGGGCCGGCACCCCCAGCCTCCCTGCCACTTTGTCCCCTGTCCCCTGCAGGGCTCTCAGGCAGACGAGCTGTCCATCACCCAGGGCGAGGAGCTGGAGGTCATCGAGGATGGGGACGCAGAGGAGTGGGTGAAGGTGGGAGCAGGCTCAGCCGCACCCCCATGCTGGGGGGACATGTTTTGGAGGTCCCCAGGGCTGTCCCCGCCCCGGGGGCTGAGATGGTCACATGCTTTCTGCCCCTTCAGGCACAGAACAAGGCAGGTCAGGTTGGCTACGTCCCCGAAAAGTACCTACTGTCCCTGGGCGGTGAGCTGGGGGCTGGGGCTGGCCCCCCGGGACCCTCTGCCCTGCACCGCCAGCTCTCCAACATCATGGCTGCAGAGCTGGTCCTGGAGCCTGGAGGTGGGTGCCGGGGTGTCACCTCCCCTGCGGAGGGGGACGGATGCGCAGGGCTGGTGCCTGGGGGATGCTGAGCACCTGCAGCAGCAGCACTGGGGGGTGCCGAGCCCTCACCCCATCCTCCCCGCAGCCTGGCTGGTGCGAGCCCTGTATGACTATGAGGGACAGAGCCCTGAGGAGCTGAGCTTCCCCGAGGGGGCCATCATCCGGGTGCTGCCCCGTGCCCCCGGTGAGGTGGATGACGGCTTCTGGACAGGCGACTTTGACGGCCGTGTTGGTGTCTTCCCCTCTCTGGTAGTGGAGGAGCTCACTGGGGGCCAGGGAGCAGCTGGGCAGGTCGGTGGCAGGAAGGTCACCACGTCCCCTTGGTGTGGGGCAGCCCCCCCGTCTTGTGCCGTGGCTGCTGGTGGGTGGACGCCCTCCCTGCTGTTCCCATCCTTCTTGGCTCTGTCTTTGCAGGAGCTGCCATCGCCATCCCCGCCGCCCTTCTCCCCGCCTGGCCTTGCGCCTGGGACCAGCCTGGCCCCCAGCTCCTCTCCTGAAACACCGCTGGGAGGTGAGTGCCGGTGGGGAGGCTGGGAAAGGGGATGGGGGTTTGTGCAGAGAGCTGGGCTGAGCAGCCGGGCCCTTCCAGGTTGCAGGCAGGATGGCACAGGCAGTGGGCAGAGCTCTCCAGACCTGGCAGCCACCCGCCTCCGGCCGGTAAGCCCCATCACAGCAATGCCGTGCCCCCCAAACCTGCCCCCAGTCCTCCCATAACGGGGAATAATGTCACCCGTGTGCTTTGGGGAGGTCTGAAGGGGGGGCACGCAGCCTCGGCGTGGTGGCACCGCTTCTCCTTTCCTCTCTCCACAGCTCCGCGCACCCCCTCCACCGCCCGGCAGAGCCCCCGAGCCTGACCCCGAGCTGCACTTCAGCTGACCCTAAGTGTTCCCCTGTCCCTCCCAGCTCCTGTCCCAGCGGCAGGGACTGGCACTGCCCCATGCTCCAAGCTGGTCTCTTTGGGGGCCGCATCCTGCCCAGCGCTGCTTGCGGAGTGGTCCTGCATCCCTATACAGCACAGGGCATCCTGGCAGCCCCTTTAATCGGGGTGCTCAGTGCCATGGCCAGGTCCCACCTCACCCAGCTCTTGCCTCTGCCCCTTCTGCCTGGCATCACCTGTGCAACCCCAGTGCAGCCCTGGTTCCCCGGGGAGGGGGCTCAGCCCCGGGGCCCTGCCTGCCCCCCAGGCACCTCCCTGCAGGCAGGAGTGGGCAGGTGGGGGCTGCGCCCCAATAAAGCCAGTTGACTCTGCTGAGGGGTTCAGCAGCTTTAATGGTTTTAGCTTGTCTATGTACAGTGCGGTTACACACCAAAGCTCGCCGCTGGCACCAGGGCTGTCCGCTGGCCTGGCCGGGGTGCGATCCTGCCCCCAGGGCCGGGCTGTGGCCCCTCCTGTGCTGGGACAGGGCTGGAAGCTCCTCTCTCCGCCAGCATCTCCCAGGGACCTGCAGGGTCCCTCGCCGGTGCAGGATTTGTGCCTGAGACCGCTCTGCGTGGCAGGGGTGCCCTGGCGGGCTCAACTCTGCAGTGAACATGCCGGGTGGGTGGGGGGGTGCTGCCCCCTGCCCCAGGGGGGCTTGAGCCGCTGCCTCCATCCCTGCCCCTCGCTGCAGCCCCCTCTGATGCATCTATCTTCCCCCCAGCGCTGGGGGGCTGCAGGGGCTGGGTGGACAGCGGGGACTGGGTGCTGTCCTGCCCCTGCCAGGCCTGACGGTCCCCCAGGGGGGTCTCCGGGGCGGGTGCGGTGGGTGGGAGTTGGGTACCTATTGCCAATGGGATGAGGTCTGGCGCCGAGTGCGGTCGTCTGTAACGTCGGCGCGTCGCTCTGGCCATGCCAAGCGCGTAGCTGCCCACCCAGGGCCAGGGCCGGCTGCCCTGCGGTCTCCCCATGGCAGAGCCCCCAGCCCAGCGTGGGGGCCGGGGGCTGCTCGCCTCCCGTCCATGCTCCAGACGGGAGCGGAGAGGAGCTGTGGGGAGAGGGGCAGGATGGGGCTCGCCCCAGCAGCCGTGGCATCCCCCATGCCCAGAGCCAGCAGAGCCGGCAGCCAGCGGCACTGCCTGTGGCTGGGCACGCAGTCAAGGGGCCCTGCCCCTGCAGGGCCCAGCACATTGGGAACCGACCCTCTCAGAGAAGGGGTTCACCCTCTCTCCACCACCGGGCTGTGACCCACTTGGGCAGGGGCACTGCCAGTGCCTTCCCACCCCACCCTGGACATCGCCCCAGGGGCTGGGGACAAGCACTCACGTCACACGGTTGCTCCTCGGTTGTGCACCGCGGCGCTGGGCTCCTGCGGGAGGGAGGAGGGATGTGTATGTCAGTGCTCTCGCAGGAGCAGGGTGCTGGTCTGAGTTGGGACAGGATGGGGGCTCTGTTGTCCACAGCAGTCATGCACAGGCGGGTGTGCACAACCCCACTGAGGGTCCAGGAGCTGACTGCAGACCGAGCCCCATCGCCTGCAGGGCATCTTGAGCAGCAGCTAACAACCCTTGTGGTGGCCCTGGCTGGGACCTAAGGGACAAGGGGTCGTCCAAGCAGCACCAAGGCTTGGTGGCAAACATCACAGTGAGGTCCCATCACCATTCTCCTGGGACCCTGTGTCCTGGAGCATGCTGAAGCAACACCCCAAAGCCTGGCACAGGGTCTAAGGCAAGGGTCTGGCACCACAGATGGGACAGACGAAGAGGAGAAAATCACAGTGTTCCTGGACTTGTCTTCCATGCACATCTTTCCCTGGAGATCAGAGGGGCCATGGCCATCTCCCAAGGCATTGTGAGCCATGGGAGAAAGGAGGACCTATGACCACCTCTCCAGATCTCTGGAGAAGAGCTACAGCCCATCAGCTCTGTCTGGCGTGGCTGCCTTAGGCTGCCCTTCTCCATAAAGCAGCTCAAAGCTCCAGCCTGGAGGAGCCCAGATCCTTCCAGCCCAGCCACCAGAAAGCAGAGGGACACAATAAACTCCGTGTGTTCCTGCTTTTTCCTTAGCCTACATTTAACTAGGCACCTTTCCCCACGCTCACCTTGGTAGGGTGACACTACACCACGTAACTTCCCCCAGTCCCCTTCCATGAAAATTGTCTTTCTCCAATTGCAGAACCACAGGCAAGCACGTGAGCGAACGTGTTGGGAGTCTGCTACCACCACTGACAGCATCATTTGCTCAGTGGTAACAGCCCAGAGGCAGTGGCAGGGAGCAAATCCCCCAAATTGGGCCATCGACAGCCAAGGAGATGGTGTCCTTGCAAGTGCTGCCCTGGAGCTCTTTAGCACATCCAGCAAGGTGGTTGGGTAGGAAAGTTGGGAGATACCGGGGTGCTGGGAGTCCCCCAGCTCTGGCCAGGGTGGGCTGATCTCCTCTCTGAGCACAGCCAGCACCAGCCCCTCCAGGGCAAGGAAGAACAACCAAGAAAGGACCAGTTGGCTTCACCATTTCCTAGACTTCAAGGCAAGAAAGGCTCCTGGAGACATCTGTCCCTGCCTGTACATTGCTGGCCGTGTTGAGCCCCAGCACTGCAGCGAAGCCACAGTTCTGGGGAAACCAAGCTGTGTGCAGCAGCAGGGTTCCCTCAGGTCAAGAAAAAATGATCCCAATGTATGACCTCAAAGAGCCCAACCATAAAGGAAAATGCATCCCTTGCTTGAGGGGCAGCTAGCTGCAAGTCAACCAGTGACCTGCCTTTTCCCTGCGGTGCGGATACCAGCAGGGTAGGCGGCGACTCTGTATGCTCCAGACAATAGAAAGCAGATGGGAAAATGCAATCAAAAAAGGTAAGCAGAAACAGGGTGGGCAGGACAGGGCAGGTTCCATGCCACAGTGAGCCCAGCACAAGCCTTGGCTTGCCTGTCCCCGCTGCACAGCTCATGCCACCACACTTCTGCTGGTTGATCGTGTTGGCAGCAGGACTTGGGGTGCTGTGCCACAACCCTTCAAAACCTCCAGCCCAGGGGACCACGCAGGGACAAGGAAGAGGAGGAACCTACCTGCTGCCCCATGTCTTCCACTCCGGGCTGTTTTCTGCTGCTGTCGTCTCTTCCCAACTCATCAGCCTGTTCGTGCAGACTCAGGCTCCCGTGAATATCCGACACTTCATCTGCCGACCCCAGTCCGGTTTCCTCCAGGCAGATGCTGGCTCCTTCCTGCACCAGCTCTCCTGGGATGCTGGGACTCGACCCTCCCAGCACCCGATGGCTCAGGAGCTTCCGCTGGCGGCTCGCGCTCCCAGGAGCAGTGCCAGCATCCTGCAGTGAGCCTGCCACGCCAGACCCCTTGCCCGCCCGTCTGCTGTCACGAGTGCTGGAGCTGGCTGGTGTGTTCGGGGCTGGAGTGGTGGAGCGGCTCTGCTCCCCACCCTTGCTGCTCTGGGTACCCTTCTGGACGGCTCCGTTCTGCAGGCCACCCATGGGGACAGTCCCATTGCGAGCCCGCTCGCGCTGGAGCCGGTCGCTGCTGTGCTCCAGCTCCTCCGTGCTCGGCTCCCGGCTGCCATCTGGCAGGGGACCATCCTGCTGCTCGTGGAAAGTGGGTTTCTTCCCGATGTGTGTGACACGAAACCTGGAATGGGGGCAGGACGGATCAAAATCCTTTCCCTCCTCTCCCCCAGCTGTATTTCCAGCTTGCCTGCACCTCCAACCTTGGATGTCCTCTTTTTGTCATTGACTCGTGCTGATCTCCAACCTTTCAGAACCATTCAACACCACCGACCCCCACTCTAGCCATGCCCCCAGTGACTTAGCCCCATTTTCCCCTTCATTTTTGGCAAAACAAATATAAAGAGAAGGATGAAAAGGTCAATCCAGATGTTGGCTGGTGCAGACCCTGCCAGCCTGTCCTCCCTGCAGCAAGATGGGTCACAGCTCTTGGAAATGCTCCAAGATGAAACCTCGGTGAACAGGAGCTTGTACAGAAACTCAGGTGTTGATTCAGAAGGTGAAATGCAAACCAGCTAAGCCTGGTGAGGAGGGGGTGGCCATGCAGATCTGCATGGATGTTGCACCTAGTGACTGGCTGCCATCAGGGGAACAAGAGCCAGAGTTTTTGGCAGACAGTACTCCATAAGTGAGGGCAGGGACAGGGTTTCGGCAGACCGAGCTATATTTGGGTATGGGGATCAAAGGCAGGAGTTGTTGTTTGGCAAAAATCTGCCAGAGCACGTTTTGCACCATCCCCTGGAGTGATGGATGGTACCTAGGTGGTTCACCAAGATTCCACCATGTACCAGGTAACGGCTCAGAGCTCCAGGATAGGCAGGAGAACAGCTGCAGAAGTTGGTCTGACACCCTCAAAGGGTGCATTTATAATCAGAGGTGGTGTAATATTGCATGTGGGGAGAAGAGAGAAGTTAGAGATCTACCATAACTTTTGGATTTGTGAGGGGTAACGTATAGGCAAAGCCTAAAAGTCTGAATTGTACGCGAGCTGGTTGTGACTCCTGTTCTTAAGTAATGCAAGCCACTGCTGGACCAGCAGATGGGAAATCCCTTCCACAGTGAGCTCGTGTTCACCAGCCAAAGAGCACTGATCCCACCACAGAGACCTCATGCAGCCCATGGAAACTCACACAGCAGCTGCTCTCCCTGCACTTCAGTCACACCCAGAGAAGCTGCAGATGGCCCTGGCTCTGCTGAGGTTCAGCTGTGAGCCAGCATCAGGCAAAATACAATTTCAGCAGCGAAGTTCAAGCACTGCTGGGGTTGAAAGAAGAACAGGACCCAAAGGTCAAGCACATGGCAGTACAGCCATTCTGAAGGAAGAAGCTGAGAAAAAAGGTCTGAGAGATAAGAACTGATGCCAGATGAGATGCCAGAGATGAAGGAGACCACAGCCAGACTGAAGACCAGATGGTAGTCTGCAGACAGTACAGACCCCTCAGGATTGGAGTCAGAAATGCTGCTCATGATTGGAAGGGTCAAGAAGATAAATGCTCCAGCTCTGGACAAAGTACCCACAGGACTGCTCAGGTCAGGCTGAGAAGCAGCAATGTGACCTTTCAGGTCTATCCAGATATTTGGAGACAAGGCACCAGTGTTGCGATTTGGGAAGACCAAACAATGTCCCAGTCCCAAAGAGGGACGAGGAGGAGGCATGAGTGGCAGGATCATTTCTTGGCAATGCCATTGAGCAATGTCAGCCTGGAAGAGCCAGGAACAGATTCAAAAAGCAGGCAGGGTTCAGACTGGAGGGGGCACAAGAAGTAACATAACCAGCCTCTGGATGGTGAGGGGAAAGGCAGGAGAGCGCTGGCTGTCTACCTAGTCAGCATCGCTAAGGCGTTTGATTCAGTGGGACATGACATGTGGTGGCTAATTGGGCTAAGGACAGAGGGTAAGACACAGGTGCTTTGGTGGATGAGCTCTGCCACTGACAACTGGTTTAGGGAAAGTCCTAAAATAAATAGTAAATCATTCAATAATATAAGAGTACAGGTCATATAACCCTGATTACCTCTGAAGTATAGAATAATTCAGGTGTGAAAAGCCCTCGGGAAGTTTCCAGTCCAACCCACTGCTTGAATCTGGGCCACCTCCCACCCTCAATCAGGTTGCCCAGGGCTCCATCAAGTCAGGTTTTGGAAATCACCAAGGATGGAGATCCCTCCACTCCTCTGGGCCCTGTCCCAGGGCTGCACCATTCACAGGATGAAATATTTTTTCCTTACATCTTTTCTGGATTTCTCTTGTTGCAAATTGTGGCCATTGCCTCTTGCCCTTCCCTGTGCATCTCTTGAGAATAGTCTAGCTCCATCTTCATTTAAACTCCCCTCACCCCTTTGAGCAGTTTTAGAGAGCAATTAGATCCCCCCCTTAAATGTCTCCAGGCTAAACAAACCCCATTCCCTCAGCAGCTCCTCACATGCCACATGCTCCAGCCCCTGATGATCTTGGTGGACCTTCAGTAATGTCACTGCTTTCCACTCCTTTAGCAATGAGCCTGTGCCTACCAGCTGGGGACCAGACTCAGTCAACGAGCTTTAGGTAATTGGGAAAGGGGATGGACTCTCAACCACTGTGTCCAAGACAAAAGCAATAGCAAAAAAATAAAGAGAACAAGACCTGAGGATTGCAACAGAAGAGGTGGTTTAAAGGAGCTTTTGTGTGTAGGGTCAGTCATGAGTCAAAGTACTTCATGTAATCAAGATATTTGTAGTAAATATGACACAGCAAGGGCAGTCCCAGAAAAGTCATCCAGGATCTGAAAAAGCAGAGGGACCAGCTTGGAAATGAGAACCAGAATTTGGAGGTAGTTTTGTACCTCATGGGCACATAGGCCCCTTAGCAGTTGGACCTCATACCAAGGAGATTCAGGAAGTGGAAACTTTTAAAGTACAACCTTGGAGAAATGTAATTACTGTCCTGTTTAGAAGTTTGATGTGACGCAGGATATTACAAAGATAAAGACAGAAAACCAAGATTTGAGGGAAGGTGCCTTTAGGAAAGGAGACTGTCTTCTCCAGCACTCAGAGGTGAGTGAGAGGAGACTGAGAAGAGCATGGACAAAGGACACAGAGAAGTGGATGGAGCTGGGCACCACGCAGGGAATGAGATTAGCCATGAATATGCAACTGTGCAGAGATCTGGCTTACCAAACACCACCACCAAGGACAGCTGACAGCAACAGGCAAAGAGGAAGCCAGAAGCTGTCAGTCTCCAGAAGGTGTGATCTTAGCTGGAGTTCAACATGGGGAGGTCCAGCATGTCTCTCCCCTTCACCAGCTCCCCATCAAGCCCCCAGTTCACCTCCCTACTGAGACTCCTAGCTGTGATGGTGGAAAAACCCACATCCCCTGATGCTCACTTAGGCTCAACATCACCATGAAAAGACTCTCTTTCTGGGCCACAAGGTGCAGCTTCATCAAGGCTTAGGCCCTGAATGAAGACCTGCTGCAGGATCTGAGCAGAGCAGAGCTTTGTGTCTCACGAGGGTGGCCATCCAGGGACTGCAGTTGTTTGTCACCCTGCACTGGTCACCACTGCAGTAGGGAGCTGAGCCCTGGAAGATTTAGCTAAAGGTCTTGTGCATGCTAAATCTTTCTACTGGGAAATGGGGCAACCTGTGCAAGACTGCAGATTGTACTGAAGGTTACTGGCTACACAGACACCACAGGAAGCTGAGGAAGTCCCTTGAGGTAAGACCAGGTGGTGACTGGAAAAGTATTTGTGGGAAGTATGAGGTACACTCCCCTATTCTTGTATTCCTGCCATGTCATCTAATTACAGTCATCATTGGAGGCAGTGACCTGGAGGAGCACATCCACTCTTTCATTCTGATGCCAGTGGCTGGTAACTTGCACCTGGGACCTGCTGTCACCTCCTTCCTCTCCTAATGAGAACTGTAAAACCTCGGGTCACTGCCCCTGTCGGGCAGCAAGAGCCCTGCTTGCATGTAGCTGGGACAGCAGGCTTTAAAAGGACCTGGATTTGGGGCTCTGCCCAGCACTGAGTCAGCAGGAAAAGCCAGGCTTGAGTCACCTTCCCGGAGAAGGAGGGAAGCCACCAGTGTGTCATGGCCTGCCACACACCACAGGCATTTCTAGGTGCAAGAGGCACCTGGGTCCTTGGAACTCCCAGCTGCAGAACTACTGCTGGAGTGTCTAAACAGGGAAGAGCAAGAGGGTGCCTGGCATGGGGCAAGTGGGGAAGGGGAGAGGAATAGGGGAACTGAGAACGCTCTCCATGATGCTTGCTCCATCAGAGCAGATGGGCCTTGTCTGGCAAGGCTCATTTAAGTACCTGCCCACTGAGAAGACAGTAGTCTCTCCAGGATGCATCCTGCCTTTGCCATCCTTGGACCGTCCTTGTCGATGCAGTGGGTGCCTCTTCCTCTTGCTGCAGTGGATGCAGGGGGCCTGCGTGGAGCCCAGATGCACTGTGTGGTGATGTGGTGGGCCCCCATCCTGGCTGTTACGGTGGGGACAAAGGCTGCAATAGGAGAAGGACATGACAGGTTGTGTTACCTGGAGAAGACTTCCAGTCCTGGTGCAGCCTCACTGCAACAAGCCCTGAGAAGCAGCAGCTCTGGATGGCACCTCCTCTGAGAACAGAAATAAGGAAGAGCTATTCCCCTTGACACTGAGGTGAAGCACTCATTGCAGCCCTCAGGGGAGCAGGACTTCTTGTTGGGAAGATGCTTTATAACAATCTGGAAAGGGGCTGGCTGCAAAGTCACCAGAGCAAGTTGATACCCAAAGGCTGCTTCTCCCTTATTCTGCAGGAGCCACAAGCTGGTATAGGCTTCCCTCACCTGGGCACTGGCACTGGGATGTCCCCTTCATTGTCCCCCAGCATCTCCTTGAGGGCCTCTGCATTTGCTGACGAGAGAGGAAAAAAGGGATGCATCAGCCAAAGTGGACAGCATGTCTCCAGGCCAGCTCTAGGAAATGCTCACCTTCATTTTGTATGATGCATCTCACAATCTTCTCCACGGTGTCCTCGTTCAGCTCCTCCTCTTCATCTGAAAAGAGAAAACATGGCACTGAGGGCTGGGATTCAGAGACTTCGCTTGCCAGTCCCTCCCCAGGAGCAGCCACATCAACAGAGAGGTTGGAGAAGCCTCGTGTCCCCCATCATGCTGGGAAGCCCCTGGAGAACACCAGATCCCTCACCCTGGAAAAGAAATGGCTAAAATTGCAGCCATGTGTACAGTGAGACAGGGGTTGTGTTTCTCCTTCAGAACTGGGGAGCATCATGAGAAATGAGTGGGAAGCAGGTTTGAAACAAGCCAAAAGAGGAGGCTCCTTGTGGGGACAGTCCAGCCCTGGAGCCCCTGGCTGCAGTATGCTGTAGGTGCTAAAAGTCTCCAAGGGTAAATAGGACAAGTTCACAGAAAAGAAACCCACAGGGGCCTGTTAAATATGGGGAAGCCATGTCTGATGGAGAAAGCCCCAGAGCTGCACAGCTGCTAGAAGCTTAAAACAATATGCTCAGGAAACTTAGCTCGGTGTCTGCTCTATCATGGTATTCATCCCAGCATTCATTGCAGCCTGCTTCTGGCCACTGTTGGAGGCAGGAGGCTTGGCTGGCTACACCTTCAGCCCAGTCTGCAGTGTTATATGTTCCTATGAGCAGGTCAGAGCTGTGGTCTGGCAGGCAACTGCCTCAAAGAACATGGTCAAGGGCTGCCACTATGATCCTGGAAGCCCATGGAGATGCTGTGGCATCTCCAACAGGCAAAGCCAATCCTGGAAATTTCAAACACTGTCTCCATGTCATGTGCAGCCAAGTCATTAAAGCGAGAGGAGGATATCCAAGGACACCTGGAAGCTCCTGCTGTGTCTGTGGGTGAGCTGGAGGAGTCCCGTTTCCCTCCCATGCACAAGAAGTGACAGCAGGAGATGCTGATCCTCCCAAGCACTGCCAATGCACAGGGAAGCTGGAGGAGTTATGTAGCACCATTTGGCCATTTTCAGTTAAGGAAGCAGCCAGAGGAATGTGTAATGTGTCTTCTTCATTTCAGCAGGGACTCATGAAACCACAAACGACAGAGCTTGCTTGGACCAGGCTCTAGTTTGCACCCATGCTTGTTGCTGCAGTGACTTCCCAATGCAACTACCCAAGAGCGACTTACGGTGGCCTGAAGCAATGGAGAAAAACCCTAAAGGTCCCCTTCTACATGGGGCATAGATCCCAAGGAAACACCCCTATTCCTCTGGCCTGCGTGAACACAACAGAGACTAGAAGAAGACGTGACCAATAGCAAACACCATGCTGGCTCTGTGCTGGACCTCCTAATGCTAGAAGGGCAGAGGGACAGCTTGTGCCCTGTCTGGGGGATGCTTTCCTTGTAGGGGACATGGGTTATAATTCACGTGCTGGGCATTTGGCAGGTCCTGGCTGTTCATCAGAATTACATTCTGCTGATAACGCTGCTTTGGGAAGAGCCAGATGCTGGTTCCCAACTCGCTGGCACCACCAGCGTTCGCCAGCCTGTGGACCCAGCAGATCAGAGGGCTCTCCGGGCTGCACGCTGCCAATCCCTGGGGAACACCACACTGCTCTCGCCACACCATCCCTTTTTTCCAACCCAGCAGCATGTGACAGGTAACCCTCCCAGCCCCAGGCCACATCCCAGAAGCATGTTTAAGGAGCATCACTCCACACAGGGCAAAAGGCATCACCCGAGCCCCCACCGAGCCCCCATTGCCCCAGCACTCACTGGCCTGGAGCTCCGCCAGCACGTCTTTGTTATCTGGGTCGAGCTCGTCCCGGAAAGTCCGGCACCGGTAACCCTTCTTCTTCAGGACATGGCAGATCAGGAAACCCACCAGCCCCATGATGAAGAAGACGAGGACGAGGAGGAAGACCATAGACAGGCTGTGCTGGGGGTCTGACTCCCCATCGTCAGTGCTGTTCTGGTCTGACATGCGGATCTAGGAGAAGGGGGAAGGCAGCTCAGAGACCACAGTGCTCACCCCCCGCCGGGCTCCTCGTGCCCATCCTCCTCTTCCTTCTCTTCCTCCCGTCCACCTCGGGCAAGAGCCAGCTCCCAGCTTGGGGTGGGCTGCCAAGGGCTCATCTCCCGCCCCGCAAGGTCCGGCGTGGCGGAGGACCCCAGGGAGGAGAGGCCAGGCTGGAGGAGGCTCGCTGCGGTCTCCCAAGGACACCGCTGCCCCACGCGCACCCAGCAAGAGGCATCCCAAGGGCAGCGCTGGCGGCAGCACCATCCCCGCAGGCCTGCCTGGCTCCGGGCTGCGTCGCTCCCCCGTCCCTTGCGGGCGGCTTCCCAAGGGCACCGGTCCCCCGGCCTCCCACGGGATCCGCGGCGGGCGGCATCACCCCGCTCGCCCTTGCGGGAGAACGAGCATCCTCACCGCGCCGCGCCGACCCGCTCCCCACCCCGCATCCCTCGCCACTCACGGCCGAGGGCCTCCGCCGGCAAAGGCGACGGCAAAGGCAGGGCAGGCAGGGAGCCGCGGCAGCCGGGCCGGCGGAGGGCTGAGCCGGCCGGCAGCCCCTGCATCGTCCGTCCGCAGAACCGAGCTCGCTCCCTCCTCCCCAGTTCCCCCGGGCTTTCCCCGTCTCCCTCCCCGGGGAGCTCGGCGCTCCGCCGCCCGCTCGCCGGCTCCGCTTCCCGGCGCAGGCAGGGTCTCCTCTGGCCGTCCCCCATCCCCGCTGCTGCGGCGGTACCTGGGCCTGCGGTCCTCCGCAGCGCTCTCCTCTTCACCTTCACCTGCCTCCTAGCAACCCTGCATCCCTGTGGCTGGGGACCGTGGCAAACATCCTCTGGCCCCCCGGCTCCCGCCTGCCTGCCTGTCTTCCTCGGGAAGGATCCAAGCCGCTTCTGGCTGCCGCGGCAGCCTCTACCGCTGTCTGCCGGCGAGAACACCCGCCTGTCCCAACCCCGGAAAAAATCTCTCCGAAGCGGTTTCGGCGGATGAAGGTGCAGCGAGAAGCTCAGGGAAATGCCGGCAGCTGCAGTGGGGAGCAAACAGGAGTGCCGCTCAGGGAAGCCGGCGCTGGAAAGCTGCTGCCCGCCCCGGGGCGAATAACCTCACCCACATGCAAGCCAGCCCCGACTTCCCCTGGCACCCTCCTTTCGGAAGCTCTCGGCAATTTTTAGAGCTCTGAGTTGTGGTGATGGGAGGGCAGAGGGGGGGAAGCGGGTCTCAGCGAGACCAGGACCGGTCCCACGCTAGTGTGTGCAGAGGGACAGGGGTGCAAACACCCTCAGCATGATCACAGCACCGAGGAGGTGGGGGAAAAGGAGCCCCAGGAGACCCCGCAGCCCAAGAGACTGACCCAGCCCAACTGTCTCTCCCTTCTTCCTAAAAAAGGGATGGCTAAGCCATTTGAAATCTCCAGCCGTGGTGGTCCCATGACCCCCTTCTCCATCTCCACCACATTATCCTCACTCTGGGAGGCTTCACCCAAATCTCCTTTGCTACTGCAGATTAGGCTTGCTCCTTTCTGTCCTTTGCCCACCTGCCAGTTCTCCACCCAGACCTTGAGAAGCACAGGCAACCCTTGAAATCCCTCCCACCCCATCTCTATGAAGCAACTGTCTATCTGTATAAATACTTATTTGTAGGAGTTATCCCACCACACTCTGTGTTGCCATGAGGCAACCTGCAACTCCTCCAGGCTTTCAGCTATGCAATGATGAGAGCTCCTATCCTTCTCTGCAAGTGACCAAGAGTCGATTCTCAGGAGCCCAGGAGCCTCCCCCATCACCACGACTTCAGGAGGTCACCGCATCGTAGATGCCACCCATCTGTCTGCTGTTCTGGTAGGGAGGCAGGCCCTAAAATGGACAAACTATGGCAAGGAAAGACCACAGGCAGCAAGGCTTACTGCTCCTGCTGTGCATTGCTAGGGCTGCAGGAGAGCTGAGGTCTCCTGATGCTGGACCAACAAGCTGCAACATCATGCGAGTCTCTGCTGATCAAGACCTTAAAGGCAGTTTATAGCTTGCCCTTGTTTCTTCAAAGCAGGGGACCTTGCAGGTCTGGGTTTCTGTGGAGCCCTGAGGGGATGTAGTCATGGTGAGCTTATTCCCATTTTCCTCATGCCCACGCACACTGTCCTGCACAATAAATCGCTCTTTCTCCTCCCGGCCATTCCCGCCCACCCAACGCATTGCTGCACCCTACCCCCCTTCCAGCCTCCAGCCATGCCAGGCAAAATGAGCCCAGGTTTCTCAGCCCTCCCCGCTTTGAGGGAAGATTCCCATTTTCCCACAGCCTCTGATGTCAAAGCATTTCCACAACCTGGGGGGCACAGGATGGCACAGCAGCCCATCTGGGGACAAATCCTGGCCTCCATGGGGTGAACTGGGATGAGGAGGGGGCTCCACTACTGTCAAGCTGCTCCCACCCAGCTCTGCAGCTGGGTTATCCCAGCCGATAGTGTTTCTCTTCCTGATGCTCCCTGCTCGGTATCGTGTGCCCCCAGTCTCCATCCTGCTTCCATCACCCCAGCCTCAGCATCCCTCCAGGCTGCTCAGTCCTCGTCCCACTGTGGGACCTCATTAGCACTTTAGTGGCGAGACCACAAGCCTTGTCCCATGCAGTGCCTTGCCAGTGACCCAGAAAAGACACCACAGCTCCTCTCTGTCCCAAGACCAGCCAGCATGACAGGCATGAATCCACACAGCTGAGCTCTCCCTCCCAAACAGGCTGGCCATGTCAATCCCACCCAGTGGGGACAGTCCCTGCGTGGAGCTAAGCCCCACACCATGGCGGGGAGGTGCGAACACGGCTGTGGGCTGGATGCTTGTGGTGTGTCGGGAGGCTGGGCTCTGCATCCTCTGCCTCCTCCTGCCCCCGTCCCAGCTCCTGTCCCCATCCTGTGCGACCCCACCAGCCAAGGCAGTGCAAGCTGAGACACAACAGCAATCTGGCCAGAGCTCTGGGGCAGGCAGCTGCCTGCTTGCTGCCTGCCTGCTGCACTCAACACCACCATCCCCCTGCCCTTCCTTCCCAGGTCACCCAGTCAGGGGTCCCCAGTGGGTGCAGGCGTGAATCCTGGGGGTCCTTGAAGGCTTTGGTCCCTCTCAGGACCAGACATTGCCTGGAAACCCTTAAATTTTAAGCCACTGGGTCAAGAGGTGGCTGGGGGAGGGAGGGGACAGAGCAACCGAGGAGACTGTGGAAGGACAGCAATGTCCCCCATCACCCTGTCCCACAGCCAGCTCCAGTCCCAGTGTATTGCCACGTTACCTCTCATCCGCTCTCTTCCCGCGCCTCCTCCGTAATCATTACGACAGACGTCACCCCATGAACAATGTGAATGCACTCGCTCAGGGGATCGTCTGCCACAGCCCCACTGGTTGTCCACGTGGCAGCTAAACAGGCCAGATTGCCCGGCTCCAGCAACCCCGTGGACAGGCTCCTCCTGGGGTCTTTGCTACGATGCTTAGCCCAGAAATTGCCATCATCTTTCCAAAAATGCTACATCCCATCATGTCAAACATGTCTCTGAAACTTAAGCCCTTATTTAAGTTTTTCAAACATCCCCAGCAAGCTAATGGCCTTTAAACCACAGCCTGGTTTTGTTCTCTGAGCACAAAGAGCATCTAAAAATATCCCTCTCCGATGCTTTCTCTGCACTGCTCCAAGACCCATGAAGATGCCTGGAGCAGCAACCAGCTTCCAGAGTGAGCTCAGCCAGCAAAGCAATCCCCACTGGAGGCAAGGACATGTTTCTCCCCTTTTTGCCCCTTTACCCCAGCCAGGCAGCTTGGCCATGCCACTCAGGCGGCTCGGTGGCCCCAGCCAGACGTTATCTGGTGGCAGCACCTTGCGGAGCAGTGACCGGGCTATCGTCATGCCAAGTGAGCAGCCCCCACCGAGACGTCAGTGCACTCCACACGTTTGCTGCTACACCCTTGTTGTTCAGCATGTTTAAAGCCTATTTATTTAAGATGGTGGATGCTGGGCTCAGTGGTCACTGAGCCAGGGATCGCAACTCTGAGCGTCCCTGATCACAGCTGTGCCCTGTGGGGTCACAGCCAGAGGGTCCCGGCATCCCCCAGACCATCCTTGCTCCATGCTCAGGAGCCAGCATCCTAATGGGAAACAGGCATGAGGAGTGCTGTGGCAGGAGCAGCGTCCCAGCAGTAAGTGGCAGAGCCAGCAAGAAGCATCATTTAATCCCACAATTTAATTGCACCTCGACACTAGTTTTCGCACCTGCTTGCGGCCAGCATAGCACCCAAAATCCCATGCCGTCCCACCATCACCTTGCTGCCCTGCCAGCCCCATCCTGCACACCCTGGGCCATGCACACGTGAAGCTCCCCTTGCTGCACACCAAGGGGTTTCCCTCCCACACATTTATTACCCAGCATCAAAATCCCGTTGCTGACAAGCCAGGAAACATCCCAGTGGCGATCTGCCGTAGTGTCCATCCTTAGCCAGATCTTGGTGTGCCCCTTGGGGGTCCTTGCCCTTTGCCTGCTCCTCTCTGAGACCCCGTTTTATTGCAGGTTGTTTAGGCAGCCTGCCTCAAGTGCAGCATCCTTTGCCCCCAACATCCGTCCTGTGGGAAGCAATCGGGCAGGAGACTGGCAGAACCATGTCCTTGCCAAGCGCCAATTTCAGCTAATTTGTTTTCTGAGCCTTTGGGCAAGACTACCTGCTCCTTTCATCCTTTCTTCTTTCCAGCCCACAGGAAACAGATTTTTGTCACCAGCATCACTCGCGGCACAGCCCCATCTCCATCCCTTGCTGGCTCTGGGTGAGGTTCAGGGTTTTTCCCCCGTTCCACATGGCTGCTTTCTTGTACACAGCAATTTTTCCACCCAGCTTTTGTCCTCTGGTGCCTCCGTGTCCCCCGCTCCCTGCCAACACCAGCAGGTTTTCAAAGGCTGCCAGCAGTCAGGAGGACCTGTACACTGGTGGGGCAGGATCTGGGAGGGCTGCTTGGCCAGGTGACAGCCAGCACTGGGTCCCTGTCCCTCACAGCTCAGGGGGGATGCTCCCCAGAAGGGGATGAGTCCCACCAAGGGGTGGGTACCCCACGGGAATCCCACCGCCCCGTCTCCTGCGCCCTTAGTGGGTGGGCTGCAGCAGCTGAGGGGTGACTGGTGGATGCTGGGGGTGATTAGAGGGCAAGTGGGCATAAGTGGTGAGCAGCTGGGGGGTGACTGGTGAGCAGCTGTAAAGTTACAGGAGAGAATCCAGTGGGCAACTGGGAGTAACTGGGGGCAGCTGCGGGGGACTGGGGGCAGCTGGGGGTTGACTGGGGAGCAGCTGTAGAGTTAAGTTACAGGAGAGAATCCAGTGGGCAACTGGGAGTAACTGGCCAGCAGCTGGGAGTAACTGAGGGCAGCTGGGGGTTGACTGGGGAGCAGCTGTAGAGTTAAGTTACAGGAGAGAATCCAGTGGGCAACTGGGAGTAACTGGCCAGCAGCTGGGAGTAACTTGGGCCATCTGCGGGTGACTGGGGAGCAGCTGTAGGGCTACAGATAGAATCCAGTGGGCAACTGGGATCAGCTGGGGGTAGCTGGGGGCAGCTGAGGAGGGGGTGGAGACGGGGGTAGGCTCTGGGACCGCGGGGACGCCGCAACGGTGATCGCCCCGCCCTCTGCCCCGCCCCTCGCTCCCAGCCCCGCCCCCGGGCTCCGCCCCCGACACCGCCCGTCGCCCGCTCTCGGCGCTGTCGCGGCGCGATGACGTGAGCGGGAGCGCGCGGCGGCGGGTCCCGGCCTCTCCGCCATGGCGAAGACCGTGGCCTATTTCTACGACCCGGACGTGGGCAACTTCCACTACGGTGCGGGCTGGGGCTGGGCGGCGGGGCCGGAGGAGAACGGGAGAGGCGGCGGAGGGGCCGGTCGCGGACTTGGGGCGGGGGTACGGTGCAGCCCGGCCCTGGCTCGCCGGGGCGGCCTGGGGACGGTGCCCTCGCCCCGTCCCGGGGCCGAGCGGGCCCGGTGAGGGGTGGCTCGGCGGGTCCCGTCAC